ATTTTTGTTGACCTTTGTCCATGGAAGGTCCCTGCAAAATTTCATTGCAATTGGTTCAGGGGTTTTGGAGAAGAAGATTTTTGAAATTTTAGTCAATTTGACCCCTTTTGGCCCCGCCCCTCAGGCCCCTGGGGGCGTAGGACTAAACCGGCAACTATTTTTGTTGACCTTTGTCCATGGAAGGTCCCTGCAAAATTTCATTGAAATTGGTTCAGGGGTTTTGGAGAAGAAGTCGAAAATGTAAATTGTTTACGGACGGACGACGGACGACGGACAAAAGGCGATCGCAATAGGTCACTTGAGACTTTGTCTCAGGTGACCTAAAAAGTTGGAAGTGCTGTCAATGAGGGATGAATACTCATTATAATTAGGGCAAGGACTATTTCTAACAAGGGACCAAGGGGAACATACATGTACATATACAATTTCAGAAAGATCCCTCCAGCACTTTCCGAGAAAGAGAGATATAATAATAATAATAATAATAATTTGAGGTTCTGATATACCGCTTTATCACAACCTAGGTCGTAGGTCTTTTAAAAGCGGTTCACAAATTATTATCCCTGGTTATAGGGCCTTTGCATACAGCTGGTGCTGCCATTTCAGCACTCACAGCTAGCATTCAACAATTCTAGCACTGCCCAACCACATACTCATTTACAGCTAAATAAACTGGAACAAGGGGAGTAAAGTATCTTGCTCAAAGATACAGCACGGTGCCGTGCCACGACTCGAACCCTTGGATCACGAGCCCGGCGTCCTACCACTAGACTACCATGCCTCCTCAACAAAACTTAACCGTCCAAATTCAAGATGGCTCCTGTTAGCCATTTCATTTTTTCTGATCAGTCTCAAATGTAAGAACAAAAGGTCAAGGGGAATCTACATATTGAATTTGAGAATAATCCCTCCAGTGTTTTTGGAGAAATAGCGATAACAAGAATGGTTGAAGGACAGGCGACAAACCCAACAAGGGCAATTGGAAATTAGCCAAACATCTGATGATGGTAGGCTAAATTCTTACGTAAAGATATAACTATGTATGATTTTTCTGTAAGTTTACCTGGTTTTCTACAGGTAACACACAATCAGCCTTTTCTGTCAGTTCCCTCATAGCCAGGACACTGTTGTAAGGGGAGGTAATCACATCATCTTCTGCTGAGGGGTAAACTGCTGTGACGAACCTGAAATATAAAATAATTAATTTACAGCATTTATCATAAGTTGTATTAAATTGTTAAGATTCATGACGTGATTTAGATGTACACTTTTAACCCTATCTAAATGTATATATCAAAGTATTTCAAACCTATAGTGATATATTAAGTTTGTTAATTGTAAAGAAATCTTTCAACTTAAATTAACCTTTAATAAGTGTTTGTATATTTTTAAATGCTTACCTAAAAATCAAACAATATTTAAGTAATATAGGTTATCTTTTAGAAAAGCAAAATCATAAATTTTGAATGATGTATATTAAAAAAATATCTTTAGTACTTTACAAATATAAGTTAATTTTGCAGTGGTGCCATATATTTTCCTTATATTTTTAATAACCAATTATCCTCCTTTTGAAAAATACAGCTTAATTTTCGATGTTCCAAGAATAAATGCATGATTCATTTACATACAATTAAACAGGTTTTTCCTAAATATTAAAAATACATACCTATATATGTCGGGATATTCCTCTTCCAACAAGTTCAAAATGAAAGTACCCACTCCTGAACCAGTACCTGTCGATATAAGGTCGTTAATAAATGTAAGATTTATTTTGAGTTGACTTTGACGTGATAACAATAAATATGGGTAAGCTATAGGCTATCATTCAATACAAACGTTTTGTTAATTACCCCTAAAAGGCCTCAATTTCAGGTGAGTCAAATTCATGCGAACTCTTTATTAGTCATGTGGCTGTTCCAAATACCTCCTCTTTACTAAACGTGGAATATTTAAATACCATGGCATGACTTTAACATCTAACTGATATATGACAAAAGACGAAAATAAATAATAATTTTATAACAACTCGTTCAATCTTAATCTCAAATCCATTTAAGTTTCAACAACCTAAGAGTATTCATTACCGACGGGAGGATATTGTAACAGCCTCACTTCCTCCTCCACCATAAACAAACTTTTGGACGTTAGAAAAAGAAAGAAGAACCGCGTAAAAATGGCAAACCGGGCAGTGTCAGCGATGAGTTTACGGACACAGATCCAAGAAGATTATCTAACCTGCGCCATATGCTTTAGTCCGTTTGACAGACCAAAAGCTTTGCCATGTATCCATACGTTTTGTTTAGATTGTCTTCGTGATTTTGTCACGAGTCGGGGTTATGAGAATTCTGGTAAGTTTCCCTGTCCAGTATGCCGAGAAGAGGCCACATTGCCCTCAGAAGGTGTGAGCGGTTTTCCCGACAACTATTACATTACCAGTCTCAAAGACACGGTAGCAAAACCTGCGAGACCTGCCCCACCTCGTCCTGTTGGTGATCCCATGGGGTTTGCGTCACAACCGCCGAACATCACCGCCCCTGTCCCCGTGCCTCCTAGTCCAACAGTAGTTGAGGGAGGTTGGGAAAAGATTCCTTCTGAAAAACCCGGACTTTTGTATCCAAGTGTGTCACAGATGTCAACAGTCCATGAAATACCGTCCCCTCCATGCGACCAATCTGGACTACCATGCACTGCAGGCATGATGCTCAAATTTGGGAAATGGGCTCCAACAATAAATGATTTTCAGAAACCCTACGGGTTAACTGTCGGCGAAAACGGAGAATTCGTCATCACAGATCGAGGCACAGAGTATTCTAACAGAGTATTAGTCTTTTCGAAATCCGGTGAACTTCTGTCAAGGTTTGTATGTACAGGAAAACAAACAATTAAAGTTGCCAGTGTTGCCATGACACCTGACAATAACATTATGGTTGCCGTCGATAACTCACCAGGAAATGCAATTATGCAGGAGTACAATTTCGATGGAAAACTGTTGAAATCTTATGGAGATTTCTATCGTCATGATAAGCCGAGTGGAATTGCTATTTCTTCGAAAAATCACGTCGCAATATCAAACCTTGAGGGAAATAATGTGCTTCTGTTCACAGAACAGCGGAAATTTTCAACAAAATTTGGCTGGAAGGGCTCCGGAGACAATCATTTCATGTTTCCGCAATTTGTTGCTTGTAACCATAAAGACTACATTATTGTGAGTGACTCTGGAAATGACTGTATCAAAGTGTTTGATGCAGTTGGAAACTTTAAACGAAAGTTTGGAGAGTCGGGTACTGCTTCAGGATGTCTGTCGTTTCCAATGGGCATTGCAATCGACAGCAATAACAATATTGTTGTAGCAGACGCAGGGAATTTCCGTGTGGAAATATTCACGTCAAAGGGACAACACATACGTACTGTGGTGAAGGACACCGACCTGATAAGCTCAGATGTAAAACCTCTAAACGTGGCAATAACGAGAGGAAACAATATTGCAGTTTTGTTCAGCGGACCGCAGTTTGCTGAAGTGAGAGTATACAGGTGGGGTGGGGGCAGTTCAATCTAGAATGTTTATCCGGGTTGTTCATGATCTGCTTGTGCAAATACATGTGATATGCGACTGAACATTGCTATAGACCATACCAGATGATTAACCCTTTCACCACTGTGGACCATAATTGACTCATCCACATAAATGCATGGTAGAGTTTACTTAAGGTATCTAGGGGTGTAAGGGTTAAAACTAAATTATACACAATGAGATAGTAGTGCATATCACACCTATCTTGTGGACAATATCAAAATAATTTCTAACACAAAAATAAATCTTGTGCATGGTTTAAATGGTTTCAACTTTAAATCTAATTCAATATCAAACCTAAGTTATATTTCATGTATATATACTTTAAAGGTATATATACCTTAAAAGTATATACATGAAATGTAATTTTAGGTCCAGTTCCAACACACATATATACATGTACTATATGTATGTATGGTGGAACTGGACTGGGTTGATTGTCGGCAGCCAGGTATATACGTATAACACAATTGTTAAAGTGACCTGTGTCCGTCTAGAGTTCGGAGGGGCCCGGTTTTGAACCCCGATCTTTCCATGGATGCATTTAATATTTTCCATCTCCTGTTACATTTGTAATTAATTATATAAAATCATATTACTGCGGTGTGTAATTAGCATATATGTTACAAAAGGAAGGGACAGAGTTAAGTACCTTTGTGAGTCCTACCTCATTTTTTTTCTTCATTTATACAAATTCAAGTTAGATAATCCCTGTCATCTTTCCTTCAGTAGCTATGAGCAACCTTGTTAATTAATTTATAAAATGTCAGTTTTTATTTGTTAAGATAAAAATGTCCCAGAATCTACAGTGATTAAGCTACAATTCATTTTTACCAGTCCTTTTCAACTGTATTGTTAAAAACAATGAGTCCCACAATGTTAAATTTAAGTATTTCCAGAACTTCTGCGAGTCCCATAACAAATCTATGAGTATAGGACTTAGGACTCGCATGTAGATTTATCACTGAATCTATATATATATATGTTCAATAAATCACTTTTTGCTAGAGGAAGCAGCCTTTTTTTCAATATTAAAAATCAATGGTAGACCCGGGCCCATAGACAATCACTATGGAAACACTAGGTCTATATAGCTATTGGAAACATTTACTGTACGTCACAGACCAAGTTGTCTATGAAGATTTTCCCTACGATGTGTATGATTCAATTTGTATATAGTGAGGGAAAAAGTGTTCAGTATTTTTTTTCTTTGTTTATATATATACAAAAAATATACACATTTTCTTAATTTCATGTGTACACATTTTCTTAATTTTTTGTTATCAAGCACAAATTTTAATTTAAGTATAATTTTCTTGATCAATGTCTGTCTGGTCAAGAAAATTTCAGTAGGTTTAAAAGAAATCAATATTGTATAGACCTATTACTAAAATGTGTAAATTAACTCAGTCACCCCATATATTTCATAATTAACTATTCCAACCTTTCAATTGGAAGAGTTCAAATGTGTCTTCAGGGGTGTTGAGTTAAAGCTTTGGTTGTAAAACTAAGCAAAACATATCACTGTGTTTAATGCTCAAGTTTACTATACTGTGTATGTATCAATAACATCATAAATGGAAACAAATTATACCCATGTGCTCCAATTCATTCCAAAGGTCAACACTCATTTTAGTAATTTCTAGTCAATTATGCAGATGATGAATGAAATGGAATTGCAGATTAGATAGGTACAAAATTCTGACCCATAAAATATCTACTTATTAAGAAAATGATATGACATGTTTTCAGTAAAATTGCATATCTGGGTACTTATTTGAAAAATCACTGTAACTACTGTTACTAGACACTTGTACCGTCAAGAAACTAAGAAGTTAAACTAACTAGTAAGTCTCCATTTAGCTCCATCTAGTAGTTTCTAGAATGCTGCAATATATATGAATGCTAATTGAATAACTTCTGTATTTAGCACCCGACAAAAACAGTTAAAAAACCTGTTATGTGATAGAGAATGATTGTAAGCTCTGGTGGAACATGTATATATATTGATGTGAATTGAAGTTGTGATGTCGATCATAGTTGATAATTTGGTCCAACTTATAGTGCTTATTTTTCATACTTGATGAAATCAATATGATAGATATTGTAAATACAGTATTATGTATCTAGTTTGTTCATGAACTTTTGCTGAAATTTAGAAAAAAATGTAAATTTTGCAATAATTATTGAACACATGTACAAAAAAAAATGATTGTTTTTAGTCCAGTTGCTGCAGTGTAAGAAATAGTTGTCCTTTCAATATCAGTGTTCGACTATACTAGCGATAGTTTTTCTTGTCCCAGATACTGATTAGTATATTTTCTTAAGATTTCAGGAAGGACTAGTGAAGCATCTTGCACTGTACCTAATTATAACAAGTCCTTGGACTTGAAATAAAATATAGATAGATTTTGAAATAAGAATAATCCTTTTGGAAGACTACTGATCAGATACATATATAACGCACATGAAAGTTGTCAAAAACTTCACCATAGCTTAATTACAGTATCATTTGATAATTATGTCTCCTTTAAATTTCATGTTGGATATTTTCCTAAGGAAATTCTTGGAAGAGTTACATACATTGACGTAGGATTAGTGTATAATCTATTTGACTAGTCTTGTGGACTATGAAGTAAAAAAAGTGTCTATTCCTGAATATTATGTTACAACATGTACAAGTCTTATTCACAACCATGTGCATAGGTATACATGTAGTACAATAATTTAATCTTGCTCGTAACAAGCATTTTCATTGGCTTAAAAATGTATGTTATCAGCCCATAACTTAAAAAATGATGTCGCCGTTTGTAACGTCGCTTTCGATTCGCTGATACAGAAGCGCAATAATTTCTAAAAGAAAAGAGTCCATCAATAAAAGTGGATTTCCACAGGGATTGTGTATTGTAGATTAAATTATAAGGATTAGCTTGAATATATTTTTCATGTTATGTAGCTATAACACAAAAAAACGGAGTGTACTCTCATCATAAACCGCTTCGCGGTTTATTTAGAGTACACTCCATTTTTTGTGTTATGTATCTCCATAACATGAAAAATATATTCAAGTTAATCCTTAATTAATGCCTTCATATTTTGATGTTCCAGTTTTGTTAATAATATTATCAAAGAAATTTCATTTCACATGTATAAAGCAAAAAACGACTAGACACTATTCAAGGCTGTATGCTACCTTAAATATTTTACTTCAGATTTGTGTTCGAGTTCACTCCCCTTATATTTTTCTGAGATTTATATATAATTTATCTCCTGTGGAAATTTTACATTAACAATCATATCTTAAATCAGAATTACTGGAGTGTAATCTCTGTACTTTCTTCACTTTCCATTGTGGCATTGATAAATAAAACTCATTCAAGATATTTAAACTGTTTCATAGATCGGAACTCTTTTGTTATGGAGAGAATGTCAGGTAACTTCAATCCACCGTCCCCTTGTCACTTGTCTCTTTCTGTAAGCAGTACTGTGATGGATATATTTCAATCGTAATGAGGTTTCAATATAAAAATCATATTTATGTGCCTTGATTTGAATTTATTGAAAATACAATGTATGACAGCCCATCCATCACATATATATCTAGTGTGATAATTCCTAAATGATGTGTTCAACTATTGATATTTGATTGTTTTTTAATTCGTTTCTTCAAATGTATATATATATAAATGGCATCGATCATATGTAAATTTTTAAGACATTTCTTTCTTGGTTTTTTGTTGTTGTAAATTTCCAACATTTTCTCGATACACTAGAAGGCTGTGTGGTTGTGGCCAAGTATGATATTTATACTACATGTACCTTACCTGAAGAATGTCTTTCAGGGTTTATTTTTATGACGATTTGTATGAAGTGTGTTAGTGATTTTAATTATAAGTGTACTTTGATCAAAAATCGCTTTTCTCATACCCAAGACATGGTCACAAGAACTGATACAGTATATGCAGTATAAATTTATAGGTGAAATAAGTAGAATTAGCGCTGCAATTTCAGCCCAGGTTGAAGTTTTTGTTTGTACATAACAAGACACTAGTAGGTTTTAAGTCACATAAGTGTCTTATTTTCCAGGGGTAACGCTCACTTCTGTTCTATGCATCCCTAGAATATGTCATAGCAAAATTGAAGGCACGCGGTCATCTATTAGCATCAGGTAAAAAAACCTGACCAATCACTAGGCTGATAAATACCTGTCCTTTGAAGAATACAAAGGAACAACACGTACACACAACTTCAAAGCCAGTCAATTTTACTGTTACACGGCCGAGAAATTCTTTCATGTATATGAAATGATCAAACTAGCCTTCTCATCTCATTCACAAGGGTGGTGCACACTGAGCCTTCAATTTTGCTTCTACATATTTCAGGGGTGTCGTGCTGAGAGCGAAAGAGAGCGTAACCCCTGGAGTATCAAAGATGGTGTCTAATACTGCTTGTCACTATAGACTTATCACAATTATATACATGTAATAAACAAACCCCCCTACATCTTTTTCTTTGCTGTTCTCTGCTAATCTAGACCAACATTGATACCTTGCCCCAATACATTTTATGTAACATCATTTAGCGTTAACGTTTAACTTAGTTTCACTGAAAGTATCAGTGCTAGACCAACCAAACTTGGACCATAGATGCATCTTAGGTAGTACATCACAACCTATGCATCAAATGCTGGATGCGGCCTACCTTTCATGGTCCATTGACTTTGTCAGCATCTCCATCAACTTGAAGTTTTTGCGTTTAAGTTAGTTTTTCCGATGTATACATTGATGGTCAAAGCGGGGCACAGGTGAGACATATTAATCCAAATGGCTTGTTTTTTCCCCACTCTTTCCTTATGTTGGTTCCTTACATTGTACAAAGGAGGCACGGTAGTCTAGTGGTAGCTAGGGGACGCTGGGCTCGTGACCGAAGGGTTGCAGGTTCGAATTGCGTCACGGCACTGTGTTGTATCTTTGATACTAGGTTGTGATAATTATTATAATAATTATTATTATTACTACCAAAGTAAGCCTGTTGTCAGAATAATGTGACCAGGTGAGGTATTGTCCAGTCCCCTTTGTCTTAAACTATTGACATTTCAATATGATATGGCACATAAATAGCCTTTTATCAGTACTTTATTTACCAGTGGATACCTTTCTGGTAAAAAAAATTGCTGTTACAAAATCTGGGTTAACATATGAAATTAAGGTGGCTCCACACATCGTCATCAGTGTCCATGTTCTTAACGTACTTCCAGAAAAAGGATACAGCTTGAACTCAATTATCTGGATCGAAATGTGCATGTCCACCGTGTCGTCATTTCCGTATCGCGTATGAATATTTACATTTCTTACATCAACAATGAAATATCATAACAAAGGTAAAAATCTGCTTTGACATATGTTTTCAGGGTTTCTCTAATTCTGTTTACCCCCTTTTATATATATACAACCTCCTAAAATGGCTTTTTGACCCTCCAAATGTTACAGGCTTGACATATATAAAGGGGTTAGAGTTCATGATTTTTGCTTGATTTTACACCCAAGTTTTATGTCCTGCAGAAGCATTGTTTGTGTGTGATGTTAAATTGTGAAAATTAATGTTGCAATGTTTTTAGGAATAACAAAAACAAGGCCCTATTCCGAATTAACATATTTATCAACCATTTAACCATTTTTAACAACATTTTGCTGACATGTATTTTACATAACTTTTAAAAGTATGACTAATTATTTTACAGTGTCTTTGGCTGAATACCTGGTGCCACAATTAGGAATAGTTACATATTTTATGTCTGTAGGTCTGGCTTAAGATTTAAAATTGCTCATCCTCCTACTGTATTTTGCTGACAATCATAGATATATGGCAGATTTTAATTGTACATAGGATTATATAAATACTGTAGAGGGAGTTTCCGTTTAGCTCGATCGGTAGAGCGACAGACTAGTTCGATGGTTCGATCCCCAGTATAAGCACTGTACTGTAGTGATGGGCAATCAGTTCAAAATCATAATCGATAATCGGTTTGTAATCGAAAGTAGTGAACCGATCAATGATCGATTGCATAATCGGTTAATAAATAATTTTATGGGACTGAATACCCAAATAAACTGATAGAATCTGGGTTGTGGTGTTCGAGGGCAAACACATTTAAAAAAGGGGGAGTAGTGTGGAAGTTTTAATTGTACATAGGATTACAGTCGCCTTCTAGCTTCGAGCTAGAGGGAACTTCCATTTAGCTTGATTGCATTGGTAGAGTGGCAGACTGGGAAGCTGGGGGTCGAGGGTTCAATCCCCTTTGGAAACACACGGTTCCGTTACAGATATGATACCCAAGCTCTTGTAACATGTGTTTTAAAAATGCAAGCTTTAGACAGTTTCAGAAGTCAGATGTAACGCATGTGTTTCAGCTCCTTCTGATTGTATGCTCAACCAGTTGGAACTTTTTGTGGATTCTTGAACTTTAAAATCATAAGAAAATGCCATTTTGTACATTTATTGAATTGATGTTGCTCATAATTCAAAAGTATATATTTTTTTCAAAATAGTTGTAAAAATCATATACACGAAGTTTAAAATTTCAATTAATTCATTTATATCTGGTAACGAAAGGTAGGATGTTGCCATTAATGGATACTGACAACTAATTTTTGATCTGCAGAATCACTAAAATTTGTAGGGTTTGAAAGTTTGAAATTGTGTGATTAAGATTTATTGGTTGCTTTTAGCCATAGAGAATGGAATGTTGTTTATGATGGTCCTTTTAGTGGTGATATAAAAGTGATGTTTACTATGTTGTGCAATTACATCACTACAGAAGAGATAGGGAACAGATTTAGTATATTTTTGTAGCAGAGATGCTGAATACGGTTTATCTTTAATATGATAATGTACGACACTTTTAATACTGATTCCTATATGTTGTGTAATTTCATCACTACAGAAGAGATAGTGAACATATTAATAAAGTGTATCTCGAATACAATGATTTATGTCACATTTAATACTAATTCATACTGACAATGCATATAATTTATGTAATTTATGAATTGAAAATGTCAATTTATTCAATGTTAATTTTTAGGTCACCTGAGCTTTAGCTCAAGTGACCTATTGCTATCCGTTTTCGTCCGTCGTCGTCCGTCGTCCGTCGTCCGTCGTCCGTCGTCCATCGTCCGTTAACATTTTACATTTCAAACTTAAAGTCAAGTTCTGCTGGGCCGATTGAACTGAAAGTTGGTAGGAATGATCGCCTCATGGTCCTGACAAAGTGTTGTTATTTTTCGGGTCGATCAGAAATCCAATATGGCCGCCACGGCCGCCATTTTGAAAACCTATTTCAAACTTAAAGTCAAGTTCTGCTGGACCGATTGAACTGAAAGTTGGTAGGAATGATCGCCTCATGGTCCTGACAAAGTGTTGTTATTTTTCGGGTCGATCAGAAATCCAATATGGCCGCCACGGCCGCCATTTTGAAAACCTATTTCAAACTTAAAGTCAAGTTCTGCTGGACCGATTGAACTGAAAGTTGGTAGGAATGATCGCCTCATGGTCCTGACAAAGTGTTGTTATTTTTCGGGTCGATCAGAAATCCAATATGGCCGCCACGGCCGCCATTTTGAAAACCTATTTCAAACTTAAAGTCAAGTTCTGCTGGACCGATTGAACTGAAAGTTGGTAGGAATGATCGCCTCATGGTCCTGACAAAGTGTTGTTATTTTTCGGGTCAATCAGAAATACAATTTGGCTGCCATGGCCGCTATTTTGCTACTAAATTCTAATAGGCCGATCTCACTTAAAATTGGTCTAGGAATGATCAGCTCATGGTCCTGACAAAGTTAAGTTAACATTATACTATTTTTTACTCAAATTGGTACATATTTCAACAAAAAAAATAATACTGTAGACTCAGGTGACCGTTAAGGCCCATGGGCCTCTTGTTTAAGTTATCTGTAATTTTACCTCATCACCTGTTCATGGCCCTACCAATGGGCCAGTGATCAGAGTTTACGCCTGCTACTGTACATCATGACCAGCCATGGAATTTTTAAAAGACTACCCGTCCAGAATGGCTGAGAAGTATTCAAACAACTGGAAATCAAAGTTCTATTAAAATAATCAGAATATAGCTTCCCATCCACTGCAAATGGAGTGATCGTGATAGATATGTACAGGCCACATCAACATTACACATATCCCTAAAGTAGGTACTATGTTCTGCCCATATTGATCAAACTTTGATCTCATTTGTTCATACAAATTTTCTTTCGTTGCCCAAAAATAAAATGTCTTTAACTCAATCACCCTTGAAGACACATTTGAACTCTTCCCATTCAAAGGTTGGAACAGTACATTATGAAATTTCAGGGGTGAATGAGTTAAACCTTTCACCACTGTAGACCATAATGCACCCCTCCATATCATTGCATGGTAGAGTCTACTGAAGTTACATAGGGGTGAAAGGGTTAATTAATGAAATCTTGGTGGATTCGGACGATTGTAACAAAGTAATAAATCATGAAAATATGCTTTTGGTCAATAGGAAATTTTGACATGTCTGATGACCATTAAGGCCTTAAGTTATTGCTGAAATGTTCTTGCCCATGTCAAATAATGAAAGAAACAGGCCACTCATACAGGCTCAATGGGACTCTTGTTTAATTAGAAGTCTAATACAATGTAATTGAAAATATAGCGAAAAATTCTATGCATTCATTTCAATGTATATCTATTTCATCATCTTTCATTTAACTTATAATTGTACAATCTAATGAGTATTTATTAAAGTTACAGCTAAATGACTTGCTTATAAAGTTTTAAAAAAACTACGGATTGTTTTTGTTCAATAAATATTTCCCACAACTTGACCTGATGTTTGTTAATTCATTCAGTTTTATCTAGCAGATAAATTTTTCAAGATTCAATGTGTCATACATAGCAAACATAAAACATCAGCTCTGTAGAGTAAATTTAGGTCCTGTTAACAGCTACGGTCATTTAAGGATGTGCCAGGTTTTGGTGGTGGAGGAAACCGAAGCTCCAGGAGAAAAACCACCGACCAGTAATAATAATTTGAGGTTCTTATATACTGCATTATCACAACCTAGTTTGTAGGTCGTCTCAAAGCGGTTCACAAATTATCATCCGTGGTTATAGGGCCTTTGCAACCAGCCAATATCGATATCTTTCTCAATTTCCTGGGGAGCATACAGCTGGTGCTGCCATTTTGGCGCTCACAGGTAGCATTCAAAAATTCTAACACTGCCAAACCACGTACTCATTTACAGCTGAGTAAACTGGAACAAGCAGAGTATCTTGCTCAAAGATACAACACAGTACTGTGTTGTGACTCGAACCCTTCCGTCACGAGCCCAGCATCCTACCACTAGACTACTGTTCTTCCTTAGTATCTGGCAATCGCCGCATGTACATTGTAGACGTTAAACCAGAGACTCATTGCTGGAGGGTTTGGGATCATAGATAGTCACACACTATTTGCTCTGTAGAGTTAATTTTATTGTAACAGGAAAGAGAATAGTGTGCTTCCACCAGGTGACGAACCCGCGATCCCTAGATTCCTAGTCGGATCTACTATGAAGCTTAAGGGAATTTCCTTCTAGCTCGAAGCTAGAAGGCGACCGTCATTCTATGTACAATTAAAACCTGATACATAATGAAAAGAAATTGGTATTTTTTTTTATAACAGTCATGAATCTATTTCACTCCCTTGCTTTAATGCATATGAAATGTTAATGTTTCCCAGTAAACTACATGTAGCTAAAAACAAATGCACAAATAACGTGTATTGGAATAATTTGTCATTATATCATAATCATTATGAAACATTGTTTTATTTGAAATTTGTAATATTATAATGTCTCCCCTTCAAGGTAGGTAGCTTCTTAGCCCTGGTACATATGTACTAAGAAATCTTGATGAAAGGTGTAGATAAGGCTATGGATTAAGGAACCTTTTTATCCACACATTCACCCAGAGTTTTATATTAAGTACATGTAATCTGTATCATGATCAGTCCTTTAACCTATGTCCAATATAGTGACCCAGAATTTTTCTAAAATAAGGTAAAAAATCTGCCTTAAACAGTGGTGGAACTTTGACAAGTGATCGATAGAGTCACAGAAATGGAACAGCCACAAATTTTCTTTTCTAGTGTATGTTATATGTGTGAATGACAATTTTGTCCTCATCTCACCTCCTCCCATAGAGTGAATGACGAAGAAACACTGAAGACAGTCACAAAATTCGGCGGCCCTTCGTATCACGTCCGTCAACTTCTCCTTATACTGTGTACCGTACATCTTGTGACCAACAGCCCTGGGTAAGAAAATATACTCTCTCTAAGTTCAAAAATGTTTGATACATTGTGTTGATCAAGTCATTTCTGATTAACACTTACATAATGATAGCATGCCAGACCCTTGTAACAGTAGGTATCGTAATTATTTTATTTTTATCAGGATATAACGTCCTTGCAGCAGCCAAGGTCATATGAAGACTGAACGGTCTACAAGTGATGCAAGAATAAAAAGGATGAAAACTCTTTACTGACCACTGCAGTCTTTTCAAGGCAATCATCTAATATAAATAATAGTTTTTTGTTCAAAAGTTGATATCAACTTCATGTTAGATGTCTGAGTTTAAAACTACAGATTGTTTTGATGATAAATTTTATTTTGACAATAAAAATTAATTTCATATATACAAACAATGTATATAGACTATTTTTTGTTGATATGAATGAAAATTGCAATAAATGTAGTGCATTTGTAAATATGATATTGTGCAGCAACAGATTGGCATTTTGAAATGCTTCAAAATACCATCCCTGTGAGCTGCACAAGGTCCATGAGATTTCTTTGCATGGAAACAGGACAAGTCTCTTTCAAAAGAAGTAAAAAGCATAATTAGCCTCAATGTGTATAGTTACTGTAATTCACAGGGACCAGTGTTCTTACTAAGTTTTGAAATAGGTGGTTGACTTAAAAAAATATAGCTGGATGAATGTTCATATGCTATAGTGTTAGAAACATTAGCCAGTTTAAAGTTGATGAAAAGTAGGCTACTATTGTTGGCAACTAGGTTTTAATATGAGTACTGTGAACACTAAGTACTCAATAGTTCTTTGATTGATTGATTGGTTTTACGTCTGCCTCACTACCGAGTAGTTTAGTTATCCAGCAGACGAAGAAAAGACGGGAAAATGAGTAGAAAGGATAAAGTATGGAGTGAATTAAGGCATAGAAAAGGGAGACGGGAGATAAGGAGCCGTCTATCCTATATGTATTTAATGTATCAAGTTAAGTTTTGTAAGACGACTCCTAGGCCTAATTTCCTCACTTATATATCGCCTGCCCTAAATGAAGTCCAGTTTAACTTGAATTTAATGTCAGGAAATAGTCGTTCTAACCAGTTGTTGCCGGCGCCTGACACGTCTGTGATGAGCTGTTGGAAATCAAACACCTCCTTGAGTGGCCCCTTCATCATCTCATTGACCACGCCTTCCTCCATATCCACCAGTACAGCCTAGAACAGAAGATACACTATAACAGATCAGAAACATGTTGTATACCTCAAACCTGGAAACTTTCCACCTGCACCACTAAAATCCATATTTGCTCTAAGTTGGTGTCACCATTCACATGTGATTAATATGTATGATTTGCTGTATACGATGGTCATATACGCAACGCACACTGATGTGCAAATGGTCAGCTAGGGCACAGAAACAGGTACTGGTATAGCACATAAAAAAGTCCTCGGAGGATAGAGATGTCAGATTGTTAAATTATGCCTTCAATAGGGACACGAAAAAAGATAAACTGCAACAGTAATATCTTGGCTTACAGAACTATTTCTAAGGATTTAAAAGATATATACCTGACAATCTCAGACCAACCTCAGATTATTGGAATACCATGTATGTATTTGTTGAAATATTGAAACTAACCCCATAGGTTCAGGTTAACAGGGTTTGACTAATACAACCCACTGTTTACAATAAGAAAATGATTGCATAGTTAACATTCAACTTTTCTGTACATGTACATAGCTATATATAATAACCTGTATTAAGAGACCGCCCTTAGAAAGTCTGAAAAGTTTTTTTTTAATGCAGTTGGTCTCGTAACCCTTTCACTCATAGGTAACTTGAGTAGACTCTACCATACATTCATCTGGATGAGTCCATTATGGTCTACAGTGGTGAAAGGGTTAATGGAGGTGGTCTCTTAATACATGATCAGTTCACAGTGAAATCATTACAATGGGAAACTTAGTGGCATTTTAACACAGCAAGGTGGTCTCTTAATAGATGTGGTCTTTTATATAATTCACACAGGTGGTCTCTTATATAATTCACCTATGTGGTCTTTTAACAGAGGTGATCTCTTAAGACAGGTGGTCTCTTAACACAGGTGGTCTCTTAATAAAGGTGTTTGCATCAGCAGGTTTGACTGTATTAATGTAGAGAACAATTTTTTATTGAAATCAATTCTACAAAGTAAAAGTCATGATGTACTTTTATTTAAAAGGGCCCGTCCTTAAATGACCATAGCTGTTGATAGGACGTTAAAACAATAGTAAACCAAACAAACTTCTCAGATCTTGTTGAAAAAATGCATATTGAGCAACGAAGCAAATTGTTTGCTAACAAAAAGAGGTCAAATAGTTCTTTGACAAAAAAAGGGTTAAAATTTGTATAGACCTGTAGACTTACCCTGGCTTTGAGGGATCTGATCTTGCCTCTTCCTGTCCCAAGTGGGATGTCAGCTGGATCATCGTAACGCGAATCAACATTTCTGAAAAAGCTTCCTATAGATTCATCATAAAGTCCACTCTGAAACGGGAACAGATTGAAAGATTATAACATCATCTAACTTGCTGCTCTTTTAAAAGTAATGGATATATATAGTGTTCCTCTATATAATTCATTTTACATAAAACAGATCTGAAACTAAATTTGGAACAATAAATGCGAAAAACATATTACAGTAATGCACAGTAAAACATTTCATAGCGAGATATACCAGGTAATTTCATTCAGTTTGCTAGGTAGAATCAAGCTTAGAAGTGGTATAAAACAGATATGTTAAGTTTTTAATTAATCTGGATCTTAAAAACAGATAATAATCCGTAAGTCTGTAGGGAGGTCATGGGAGACAGCATTTCTTGTAAATAGCATAAACTGTTGGTAGTATTTCGATCGGATTTACCTGTTTACTACCCAACAACGAAAGCAACAATTCATTATCATCTTTTCTCTTTTTTTGGTTGACATATTTGAAAAATAAATCAAATCGCCAAAAAACAAGTCGCGTCATTTTAACCTGGTAATGTTGCACAAAATTCAATTTCCGCAAATTCGTTCTGATTGGGACAATCGTGAAATATTAGCCATACAAATTTAACAACATTACAATAAATATTTATTACATATACTATATAAGCTTTGAAACAAAATTGAAGAATGAGGAAATTCTTAAATTAATATCTAATTACTGGAACATGTGTAATCCTGGAGAGCAATGCAATGTCAGTTTTAATACCTTGCTGACAGCTGCATGTTCCCGTAGTGCTAAGTCCCAGAACCTGCAGCCAATCTGGTTTCCACATTGGCCAACTGCAATAGAAAACAGCTTATACAGAGTGGAGAACTTGAAGTAAAGATTGGTCTGGCGGCGCAGTGGATAGCGCACTCGCCTTTCACCAAGGCAGTCGGGGCTCAATTTGTAACATGCGGGCGATCACCCATGTAACTACTGACTACGCTCAACGTTGCTTAACCAACCAGTGAGCGGGTCCCTGGGTTATACTGTCCCACAGGTAAATCTATAGCTTGCCAGTAAGGCAGTATTTCCCCCACATATTCCTTAGCTGTTACAAATTCACCGATCGGACATGAAATGGTATGGGGTCACCTGCCTGACCTCATGGTTAACTCTTGCTACTACGGTTTCCTCCCACATTAAGACCAAAACGCAATTATCTTGCACGAACACTCCCACACAGTTTACACCTCATGATTCTGATACCTATTTTTCACACCCCCAAGCAGCGCATTGCGCCGCCAGGTTTTGATCCACTTCCGGTGCTTCCCCATGCGTGAAAGCCTTCTGGGAAATTTAAGCTGCATACTGTCTACCAAAATATGATAGTTAACCTTACGGTATCATATATAGATATACGAAATGTTATATCTTCACATGTGAAGAAGTCACTCTTAGTATTGTCCAATCTGAACAGTACATTCTATTCTCTGCGTAGATTTTCGGTTTCGAGTTTAGATGAAGTGACGGCAACCTAAAATGGTTGTGTTGTGTACCTTTGCAGCATACATAATTTTTGTCTGGAAATCTTACCAGATAATAGCAGCAAACAGCAAAATTGCAGTGAAAACCCATTCAATGGGTCTCTAGTTTGTTGTCAAGCATGACGTCATTAGAACTTTGCATCAAAAAATACACTACATGTAACCCTGGTAAATATTAGCCGCAATGAATCACTCGCCTAGAGAGAACTTCTATTTAGCTCGATCGGTTGAGCATAAGACTAGTAAGCTAGAGGTTCCAGGTTCGATCCCTAGCGGAGGCAGTGATTTAAATTTAATTAATCATGCGCTCTGTTACACTACACATTCCCGTGCTTTTCTGATGTAGCAATATTTGGGTTGCATGAAGTGAAAAATATGTAAGAAATAAAAAAAAACTTGGTTTTCCCTGTTCAATATATTTATTTCAATTTTATAAAACGAATATGTGATAACAAAAAAAACCCCAGCATTGTGACAAAATGTGTCTTCGTAGCAGTCTCGAGAAGTAATAACTATTATTCAAAGTGGGGCTACAAATGACGCTTTAATAAAGAAGGCAATTGATATTTTATACAAAGATACCTTGTCAAAAGAAATATTTTTGAAATTTTGACAAAAGGTATAAATTTTATTTTATGTAAATCATGTCCTGTCCCTTCTCTCAGACGATGACGTTTTTACCAAATCGTTTACATTAAACGTGCAATTAAAAATGTACGTTTGCGAGCTGTGGGACAATTATTGAGTGAAAATAGTGCAAAATGTAGGGACAATGAGCGTGAACAGAATGTTCTGAACGACAAAATTATTGCCATTAACAATTGATATACATTCTCTGTAATTATGATTCAAGTATGCAGGATCCGTTACCCCGATCCTGGTTGTTGGACTGTCAGTAAGTCATTTCCCTAAATCAGATTTAGTGTCCAGCAGCTTTGCTGCATTTTCTTGTTTATTTTAGATACAACGATGCACTTTCATTGACACACGGAAACCGACAAACAATTGAAACATAAGTAAACAGATAAATTGGAAGGGGGGATTCGTGTAACAAGTCGCAAGATCAATCAGGTTTATTACTGTACTGCATTGACACAAATAACAGCCTCACCTTGGACAACAATGGACTGAGTCATCCTTAAACAATATTCTGTTCAGTCAAACAGACAGAATTGTCATAAACACGTGTGTAAATAAACAGATTTTCTCGTCTCTTCGTCCATGTTGTTATTTATATGAGTCGATGTGGTGCTTGTATAATGAGACAATAAAGTTCGTGCACATCAAGCGTAGACAAGACTCATGCAAACATTAACCTGAATAATTAGGTCGCGAATAAATTGGTGAAGCTAGGAGCGTGAACCAAATAGTTACTTAATATGGTAATTTGGCGCGAATATTTGTATGCTAGCCTTCAAATTCTTTGTTGAGTCGTTAAAGATAATCAACGTATGTGCGTATTATGGTAATCGAGGACGAGAAAATGTTGGGAAAATAATTAACGAAGGCCGCTTGCGGCCTGAGTTGATTTACGTTTCCTACATTTTTAATTTCGAATCTGGACCTAAACCAGAAACGTAATGTATAGTCTATTGTTAAATATGTATACGTCTCTGCCTAAACCACGGAATTAGATTATCTAAGTCCGTGCCTAAACTAAGGTGTTCAGATTTTTTTTTACATGTTTGAGGGGTTTAGACGACTTTCGGTTAAAAAAGACACCAATCTAAACTCCTAAAACATGTAAAATTACTCTGAACACCTGAGTTTAGGTCCACATATAACAGTTACAAATTCTCAGGTTCCTGTGGGATATATCCGTCTCTGGTTATATCATAGCACGGAATTAGATTTGAGTCCGTGATCATATATATTGTACGAGAGGGGCGGGGCTATTTCTCGAGCGCTTAAGCGTTCGTATAGCGCGAGATATGTAGGACTAAAGCCCCTCCCCTCGAGTACGATAACTGACATATTGCGAGGTCTATGATGTAACCGACTTGTCGCATAAAGTGTCACGTGACAATTGTTTTGGTAAAAGTTTGACATTTACTCTAAAACTAACCAGTTTTTTTACACGATCTCTCGGCTTACACGCATTGAAAGTGACCTAGAAAGTATCACTGACTGAAACTGTATTGGAAGAATTAACTTCAGCCGATTTTGTAATGTTTGGAAACTTTTTATATCTGCGGTCAGAGATGAAGACCAGGAAATGCCCGTTATCAGCCGTTTTAAAGACCGCGTTGGAAGCAAGGACTTAAAAATCACAGAACCCGAAGGAGAAATGGTAAAAAAGGTGGTCGTTACATTTGAAAATGATATTAATTCTTATATTAAACCTACAGATGTAACGGTAAATTAATATCCCTACTGACAAGGTTCCAGTGTAACGTGTCTTTCCATCGCAACACGGTCGGACTTAAACTAATCTAGCTAATTCTGTGATACGTGTTACAAAATGGAAACAAAAGGTTCTTTCGCGGACTCTGTAAAGGTGAATACTGTTCGTTTAATTTTTGCAACATTTTTGTTGAATAAAAAATTATTAGTACTTTCTTTATTTGTATTTTTAGATATTTCCCACGGTGTCATTTCCTGTTAACAGGTTCAATGACGTTCACAAATTGGACACGTTACATTTTCATTGGCAGACCAATGGGAATGGGAAAAGGTATTGCACTATATATGTAAAGGGGAGGAGTTTCACTAATAGTAAAACCGTGTAAAATTAGTTGGTCATAGGAGGGCAGTGAAGCTGCTTAAAGGACGTGTTTTACGTGTTCCCGTATGCGTGCTGTATGTAACTGCGACAGCCTATCCGCATCTAAGGAGCTGACCGACCTTAGGGCGTGACCTGGACGGGTAAGGTTATTTTGAATCTCCGAGGGCCCGGTAAGCTGGAGTCTTACCCCCCTCAAGACGACAGAACACGGGCTTCGCCCGCGAAAAGTAGTCTATAAACCCATCAACCAACCAACCAAATAACCAAATCAGTTGGTTAATTATACCTTAGCTAGGTCAAAGGAAAAGTGACACGTATATGGAATGGAAAAATGTATTGTACTATATGTAAATGGGAGTAGCTTCACTAATACCATATGGTATAAGTAAAACTGTGTAAAATTAGGTGGTTAATTATACCATAGCCAGATCAAAGGAAAAGTGACACGTTTATGCGACAATATTAACTCCACAGCAGTAAAATGTAAAAAAATAAATTTGTGTCTACCTCAGCGTCAATACCCCTATGATGTGACCCAGATCATAATTATTTAGGCTTTTCTTATGCGCGTGCTAACATTTTGTCTTCCTTTCACAACAATCTTCGATTCGCGTTATTATTCCGCGTTTTCATCATTTCCGTCCCTGCAGCAAACTTGTCCTATACAGTCCTTTTAACCTGAATATGTTTGGGAGTAATTTGTGTTTAATTTTCAGTGATATTTTCAGTTGGGCCCTATACCAGTGTCTCATCCAAGAATTATATTATCTTTCGCTTTGCCCAATACCAGTGTCTCATTCAAGAATGATATTCTCTAGCTGGTCCCATAACCGGTTTCTTAATTAAGAATGATATTTTTTTAGATTGGTCAAAAACCAATGTATCAATCAAGAATGATATATTTTCTTTAGGTTTGCCAATTACCAGTGTCTCAATCAAGAAGGATGTTATTTAGCTTGGCCCAATACGAGTGTCTCAATTAAGAGTGGTATATTTCTTTAGCTTGGCCTAAGTACCAGTGTCTCAATCAAGAAGGAT